TTTTTTTTTTTTTTTTTTTTTTTTCAAGCCGTTTTTTCGGTTTTCAACCGAGTATAGTTTAGAACCCGTCCCGTGTATTCATCGATCTCTTCTGTGAATTTGGCGCTATTTGGATCCAAACTGACGGAGCCTTTGATTAACATACAACATTCGCCGAATTATAGTAAGATAACGGGCGCGAGCAAGAGAGCGTGTGCACGCATGGCATTGTGATGTCAGGCGAGCGTGCTCGCTCTCTTGACGGCCAACAGTAGAAGAGGGCGGACGTGTTATCAGCACGGTCTCTACTTTGTAGTGGTAATTATAGGCCGAATGGCTAGGACGTTTGTAATTGTTGTTTAAGCGAGGCGAGCATCGTCGCGCCCGCAGTGAGAGCAACGTGGAGAGATGCAGAGGTAGAGTAAGAGTGGCGACGTGTTGTGCGCCAGCACCCAGCATAGTACTGGTAGGTGAGAGTGGATCGCTGCTGTGACTGGCGACCATCCTGCCGTGTAGTAAGTAGTGTGTCAATAAAAGTGTTGTTCTGCACGTCTCTTGTTGCTGTTCGTTTCGTCCTCGAGTCCTGGTAGAATCTGGGTGGGAGACGTAACTTCCCGAGGAGAACTTCGGCCATGCCCGAACCTAGTATACCATCTCGGATAGAGGGCAAGAAGGTGGTAAAAGAAGGCAAAAACATTTCACAGGCATGCTTAAGTTTCTTCTCATACCCTGTACAGACTGCAAAATTTGATCCGACATTAAACTGGTACGGGCTTGTCGCGCGTGCGCGCACCAAATCGTAGCGCTCAGACACAAAATTTGATCCCACATGAAATGAGTCACGGGTTGACTGCATGCTCAGTTCAGCTCGCTACGTCACCCCGCAGACAGCTACTGTACTTTTATGTGACGTAAATAAGGCTATACGCATGCGTATTGCAAAATAGCACGGGGCCAGGCCCGCGTGTTGCGTACAGACACAGCTTAGAGCGGGATAACTTATCCCGGGCCAAGTTATCCCGGGCTTGGCCCTCCTGCATTTGCGGGGCCAAATTTGGAGCGGGATAGCGTGTACACACTGCAAAAATTTGACGCGCGTCTGGCCCGGACTACTTTAATGTGGTATCAAATTTGCAGTCTATACGGGGTATCACTCAGCAGTGTGAGGACGATCACTGCTGTTGCCTGGCAGGTATGGTTGAGTTCCTTCTCACTCAGCCGTGTGACGACCCTGATTGCTGTTGTCTTGCAGGTATGGTTGAGTTCCTTCTCACTCAGCCGTGTGACGACCCTGATTGCTGTTGTCTTGCAGGTATGGTTGAGTTCCTTCTCACTCAGCCGTGTGACGACCCTGATTGCTGTTGTCTTGCAGGTATGGTTGAGTTCCTTCTCACTCAGCCGTGTGACGACCCTGATTGCTGTTGTCTTGCAGGTATGGTTGAGTTCCTTCTCACTCAGCCGTGTGAGGACGCGCTGCACACTTTCTACTGTGCCGTACTGCTCGACAAATCTCTGCGAGCCAAGCTGTGGGAGAACTCGAAGCACGTAGCCAGACAGCTAGAGAAGATAGGTGTGGGTTGTATAAGCATCCAGACAACAGGATGAGATAGCCAATTGCATGATCTACATATGTATATATATATATATATATATATATATATGTGTGTGAGTGTGTGTCGTGTGCGTGTGCGTGTGCGTGTGCGTGCTGTGTGCGTGTGCGTGCGCGCCGCGTGAGTGTGTGTGTGTGTGTGTGTGTGTGTGCGTGTGTAGTGTGTGTGGATGGTGTGTGGTGTGTTGTGTGCGTGCCGTGTGTGTGCGCGCGTGTGTGCGTGGCGTGCGACTTTTCCTAGTTATGGACCTTGACACAATAATATATATATATATATATATATATATATATATATATATATATATATAGGGTTACCTGATATTATGCCTACACTTATGTCAACTTGCCCTTCGTAGCAAACACATAATTATAAGTACGTGTGCGCAGCTGCTGCGGTGCGTGTAGAGTCTCTCTACGTGGCGCGCATCACCGCATAACACACGTGCGCTCATGATCAGCGGGCTGCGCGTGACCGATGATGCATTTGCTCCACATTTGCAGGACCTACGCTCAGCAATCATCTGGTCAATGCAGGAATCACGAGCTTCGAAAAAATATCGGCAACGAATCCCCGAGAACTGGAGATGGTGCGTTGTCGGGGGGACTGTCGTTACTGTGAAATCATCGGGCGTTTATAATCGTTGTTAATTAAATTACGAAGTACATATTTTTTATTGTTGTTACTTGTTATTAAATGTTATTAATAAGAGAGAGAGAGAGAGAGAGAGAGAGAGAGAGAGAGAGAACGAGAGTGAGAGTGAGAGAGAGAGAGAGAGAGAGAACGAGAGCAAGAGTGAGTGAGAGAGAGAGAGAGAGAGAGAACGAGAGTAAGAGAGAGAGAGAGAGAGAGAGAGATTGAAAACGAGAGCGAGCGTGAAAGAGAGAGAGACAGAGACAGAGACATGGATTCGCCATTAAAACCCCCATAATATTGTATTACACACTCTCGCAGAATCAGCGCATTTTCATGTGCTGATGGTATTAGTATCAATCCAATTAGTATAATTGGGATATCACGAAGTAGGTGATACTGGCTTGTCTAACCGCACTGGCTGCAAGATCATATGCGTCCGCTCGCCCTATATCTATACATATACACTGGTGTTTAGATATATAGTCAATATTGGTCATTATTCGTTATTATACATAGTCAGTGAGCTAATAATAGGTATTATTTGCTCTTGATATAGTCAGAAGTAAATAATGATAGCTAATAATCTAGATAATAATAAGATAATAATCTAGATAATAATAAGATAATAATCTAGATAATAATATAAGATGATAATCTATTATTATTCACTCCTGATATGGTTGTAGTGTGAGAGTGCCCGCATGATTATGCAGCCAGTTTATGTGGCTAGTAGTATAGGCGGTGCGACTAACTAGTACGTGCTGTCATATTGTTTATAGGTGGTGAACAGGCATCCGCCGTTTGGTAGCATCGTCAAGGAAGCCGTTTCTCTTCTACCAAAATACGAACTCAGCGTTGACCAGGTGTGCGCTTTACATTGTCATACACACTTACAATTACAAAATTATACATTATACAATACAATTACACATTATACAATAACGCTTACACAATACAATAACGTTACCTTCGGTAACATTGTCGTGGACGAGTAACGTATTTTATGCAAACGAGCGTGATACTACATTGCATGTAAAATTATGTTATCGCGAATGACAATGTTACGTAATTAAGCGCTATGCCGAATCACTATACGACGTCACCCCACTACAACCGACAGTTTCGCCTAGAATCTTCATTAATTTTGTATATGCGCATGATATGCGTGATATGCTGGTGATATAGAAGTGCAATAATGTTATTATGTATGCATATCCGTTAACATGCAGTATTGTTTTAATATTCATTAACTTTCTGATCTGCAAATATATATATATACATTCGTATATATATTTATATTGATTTGTGTGTGCGTACGTGCGTGTGTGTGTATATGTATTGTGATATGCGTGAAATAGTACATTTATATTTACTAATTTCGTGGTTTGCATTAATATTCGTTAACATTATGGTATGCGTGACATAGTCGTACATGATTATTTATTAAGTTTGTGACATATTCGTTAACATTTAATATGTTATATACTGGAACCACAACATTTTAAAGACTGACTCCAGCTCGTACAAGGCCAGCTGTCCCTGGACCTGGTACATATAACTATGACTAGGTTTTAATAGCAGACTACCATCACCGGCTAGCTCACAGCAGAATGTTTTGCTTTTCGCGCACTCTTTTGGTTGCATGTTGCGCAATTCACTGTCAGCTGTACTACCCGGAAGTAGTATATCCGTAGCGCCACCTACGGGAATCATGTTGCGATAACTCTGATCGCGGAACCGAGCCATTGTGTGAAGGTGGCGCCATCTTACATAAACTTTATTTAATAACATGTACTAATCCACCTTTAAATTTTATGCGTACGGTATAGGCCCTACATGTCGTCGACCGACAATTAACTAGGTCTATGTGCACTTTTGATGGTTCTGAGACAAACGCGATTGAAAAATCATGACCCTGTAATTTCTATTATTCTGTAGTTAATCTCGCATTAGTGTTTTTATTAGACCATTGACACCTACTTGATCTGTATAAGCATACTAAAGCATTATTATTTAGGTATTATCACAGAATTCTGGGATACCAATTTTGCAAATATACCTTTGTGACTCTGAAATCAAGAACATTTCGGAGCCACAAAGGTATATATGCAACCTGAATACTATAGAAAGCTGATGATAAACACAATTTGTCCTGAAACATTGCAACTTTTTATTAAAAACATGAAAAACACTTGAACAACTAATAAATTAATCAACATAGGAACCAGATGCCAATCAGTGTGGGCCTCTCTCACAATGTTGAATGGAAACGGAACTAGAAAAAAATTAACGAAACTAAAAATACGAGGGGGTCGCCTCTGGAACCCATACCATCAGTGAACATTGATGTGTACTTCGTTGTAGATACAAACTGGAAACATGGTAAACTGTAAACATGGTAAATACAACATGATACAAAGTCATGCCAGTGGTTTCTTTCTGAACACGGACAAATTAGTTTATCACCAGGCGCATGAAAACCTTGTCTTGTACTGGCATGAATCGCAGCATCTCCTTTGTGTCGGCCTTCTTAGCCTGAGAGAGATCTGCTGCTTTTGCGAGTCCAGGATCAGCTACAACAAACTGAACTGGATTTCTGGTAGCTTTGCGCTCAATCACGTTCTCTGTCGTCCAGTCATCAGAAAAGTGCCTTTTGTACTTTACGATCTTTGGCTCATTCCGCTGTAACTTCAAGCAACACACTTTAGTGTATGGTATCCGCTGGTATTGACCTTGCTTGGCTATTGTTTGGTAGTCTCTGAAATATTCTGGTTTTATCTGAATCAGTTTCATAGGCTTACTCCTGTGAACTTTTTTAAGCATTCGTAATAACCCCACTGGACTGTATATTTCAGCGTTTTCACATACCGCTTCAATCTGACTGTGGAGATTATCCACTTCTTGTATTGAAGAATGGCCAGGGGCACAGTATTTATGCACAACAGAGATAACCTGTGGGTGGCGTTTGAAGAACACTTTCACTGCGGTTGAAAATAGACTGTTTCGGTTTTGTGGAACACACGAATCACTCCAGAGGGTAATATGTTTGATCCTTTGATCGTTTGAATTCTTTTCCACAACAGCTTCCAGTATTTTCATTACAGAACTCGCAATATCATTTCCAGACCGCCCATTTTGTCCCTCATGCCACAGTGTCCCATATCCCCTCTTGTCACCAGAGCAGTGTCCGGTCATGTGGTACACATTAAGCTTTCGCCTGTAGAAAAAGTTGGAAACATCTGCTGTTGGCAACGCGAACACATTTTGCAGATCAAAACAAACAGTGAAACAGTTCTTATCTTTTCTATCCATGTCTCTTTCGTTCTTTGCTTCCAACTTGCACTTCAAATGCTCTGCATGCGCTTTTTTCTCTTCTTCAGTCGGCTCTTCGTTCATTTTCATCGCCTCACAAGTATCACATCGATCCTTCTTCGGTGCATGGAAGGCAATATTGAACTCCTGGTTGAATATCTGCCTATAAAGGTGAAGTTTGCAAGGGTCCATTCCGGATTCCTGACATTGGATAACATACTTTTCATAAAGACCAGTAATGGAAAGTCCCGGTGCTAGATATTCCTTATTAGTGGTTGATCTGCAGTAATGAGATTCAATGCGAGGAATAGACTTAATGTGGTCACGTATTCCGTCCTTCCTAACTTGTGAAATAACGTTATTCGCACTCGCCCCAACGAAGGTGCACTGGTGTACCACCCATGGCTTGTTTCGATGTGTGATACGTAGACACACGTTTGTGGCTTATGTCCAAAGTAGTCAAGTAGAAAACTTTACAGACACGGACATTTTCACCATGACAGGGAATGTAGTAACTGATACTGTTGCGTCTACGAGTGGGTGCATTACCAACCCTCTTGGCTGCTTGTTTTATGGTTGTTTTAGCATAAAAATGCAACTTTTCATCATCAGTCATGGTCCAGAATTCCTTAAAGATAGCAGCCCTGTCATTTTTACTGATATTCAAGCTACATTTGAAAGTACAATTGGAACAGTCTTTCTTTGTTTTCATGGATCTTGCATCATGTTCATTGCCACGACTATCTTTGTACTGCTTCCCAGACTGCCGAAGTCTCTTACGCTTATTGCATATCCACGTGTCTGGGTTGCAACTGCGTTTTCGAGTCAGAACCGCACCTGTTCGCTTATGAATGTTGGACGAACACCATCAGGTCCCCCGGCCTCCTGATCGTCATTGCCACTAGATTCATTAGTGTCCTCATCATTATTGTTTTGGCCATCTCTTCTTGGGTCATAATCTTCATCTTCGACATCATCGTCGTAATCAGTACCTTCCGCTTCGGCATTGTCAACATCATCGTCATTTGACCTATAAAACCGTTAAACAACATGGCAGATTCTTATATAACATGTACTTAAGTCCGTCCTAATAATCAGTGAACCATAGATATTTAAAATGCCATAATAACTATAAATGTTTATCTTCATTACAAAGTTATTGGCCTATTCTTATACTATTAACAATATAAACGTCATATCATGTATACAACTAGAAATATATAACTTTTCATCGATGCCCGTGCGTTTATTTGACGGAAAAAATCTACCTGTTAAATATGTGGTCAACACGTGCTCGAGTCAAAATACATTTAAATATATTACTTATTCATATATCGATAAAATAAGGGTGTCATACCTACTTCGTCTACCTACTTCGTTTATTTTTTATGTCTAAACGCATGGCGGTTATCACGTAGACAGTGGCTGACCGCCCGTACATTTAAAAAAATAGACGGACTTTTTAATCCGTACGTTATAAAATACGGAACATATTGTCTATTAATATATAGGGGCCTAGCCCTAACGATGTTAAATAGAATGTGTGTTGTTTTCAGATAGAAACCAATGGCATCACGGTCTAATAAACAAAGATATCACATGCGTGACACAGATCCCATAAAATTGTCAACCCGTACGTTATGACCCGTACGTTATGACCCGTACGTTTCACATTCAACGTCGTGTCCGTCCAGAAAACGCACGAGATTATAACCGTATAGCTCCACTGTTATCATAATTTTAACAGGAAACATGAATAATGGATGTTATCTAGCAAGCGTTGATGGGTATATTGTATATATATATTGGTATATTAGCCAAATGATTATTACTTTGTAAAATTAAACTTTGCCAACGATTTTTACTGGATGTTGTAGTCAATGTTTGGTTGATTGAACCTGGTTTTTAAATAACTGTTGACCTTTCAGTTTGTTTTGATTCACATAGTAATGGCATTAACTTCAAAAAACACAATAAAAAAAGCGATTTAGAAGTAATATTAGGTACAAATCCTTATGTCAAACTTGTAAACCTGTTAAATATCTTATCTGCACATAACTGATTCGAAGGCCGTATAGATAAACACAACTGTTTGATTATCTATTTATGTAGTCTAAGAGAAATAGCATGATCTATTCAGACGATCGGAGCAAAAATAAATGAATTTAGTTGAAAAAAATATTATACTGACTAAAAGTAGATTTCAGTACCCATTATATAAGAATCTGCCACATGCATTCAAAAATTAAAGTTAACTGGGTATATTTGCTGCCTTGCTGATATTACATTTTCCCTTGCTTTAGCTGTCTATGAGTCTATGGGGATCAAGTAGGTCTATATGCTGTCTCCATAATTAAACACCCGAACTTTATAATTATGACTCAATAAGTATGTATTATTGATAAAAGTGTTCTTAAGAATATTATATAAGTACAAACCACCATCTCACCTCTCAAGTATACTGCGATGTAAGGGATCCATTTTGGAGAGAACATGCATGGGACATTTGGCAGTTGGAATATTTGTTCTGGCAGCCATTACTGTCATCCTATTGGCTAATTCCATATAGACCTTGTTAACACGCATATCAAAATTGAAAAATGCAGATAGACCTTTGTGAAAGTGACCTTGACCCAAACTGGGTATGGGTACCTGTTGGAAGAGCCACTGAAAATAAACCTAGTTATGTCTGAAACAGTTTAAGATAATAAACCCAATTTTGACGAAAATGCACATAGACCTAGTTAATTGTCGGACGACGATGTGTGAATGTACATGTACATGCACACTCTAGGCCTATCTGTGTAATAATTTTTGAAGCGGAGACTTTCTTGAATTTGTGCTCTACTGTAATCGTCCAATTTAAGTGAATGGTTTCTTAGAAGTGAAGTACCCACTTGGGGCACTGTGCATTGCCAGCACTGAGAAGATCAGACACCGATTGTTTGCTGTCTGGTCTTCTTATCACAAGAACCATTAGCATCAAATTTGTCCTTGGGAATTGTATACTGTTATATTTCCTCTTTTCGATTTTCGGTATAGATTCGAGAAAAAGTACTATTATTCTGCTACATTACTGAATAACATGGCGTTGGTACTGTTGTCGCCGGTAGTGGATATCATGGATGAAGAGCAATATGATATTACATATCAGACATTACATTTACTAACATATTTAGAGCAAATCAACACAGTGAACTAACTTGTATTCCAGACATTACAGTGTTAATTAGTAACACAATTCGTTCGTTCATCATCTTGCTAATATTGTTGTCTGCTGGGATGAGTGCCCGTTTCTGGTGTGACTGCTGGATACTGTGTTAATTTTTCTTGTTCTTGGTTTGCTGATCGTTTTAGCTGCGCTCGGTATTGCTGTGTGTGTGTCTAAAAGGGTGTTAAACAACTATAACTGTTCAGTTGCTGCTTTTTAAGTTGCAGCTGATCGGCCAATAAAATTTGTAGAGACTGGGCGTTTTAACGAGCCGGTCGGTAAAGGGGAAACAAGCAATATTTAATCTTAGGCTCCACGCCGTTTAGTTAGATAAAAAATAATCAATTTTTAAAATCGAAATACTTTATTACGTTGAAGTCAAAAACAACATAACATAACACAACATAACATAACATGATCAAACTGACCCACGATCGATATCTCTCCCCTCTCCCTCTCCCTCTATCTCTCACACTCTAATACTTACACAACATCACACGAATACAATTGATAATTTCGCCGAACATGTTGGGACCAACTCTCTGTCGCCATGAGAACTCCGCATGATACGATGGGAACAATGCGACGGTGGTACCATGCTGACGACATAACTTTCTTTTGGCTTGCATCCACGTGTTATCGATCAGCTGCGTATGTATTGTTGGATCATTTGGATCAACGAAGTTCTGCTGGTGAACGATGACATCATGCATGTAAATGTCAAGCAGGGCAATATTAGCGTATGCGGCCCAACCATCTGAGATGATGCGGCTCCCTGGTAAAATCCAGCGTTGGATGAGTGAGAGAAGAGTGTCACGGCATCGGTTGGGCACCTCCACAAGGCAGCATCGTCCAGTATGTCG